GGCGGAGACAGGAGACTCGCTTGAGCCCAGGAGTTGGAGGTTTCTGTGAGCTTTAATGCCATGGCACTCTGCCCAGGGGGACAGCTTGAGGCTCTGTCTCAAAAAAAAAAAAAAAAAAAAAAATATAAATGCTGAAAGCTAAGAAACTAGGCTCTGCTATCCTATAGGTTGTTGGGATTTCTAGAAATGAGAGTCCTTTCTAAAGGACTTAGACTTTAACATTCCCAGCCTCTTATTGGAGACATGCAAGTTCAAAGCTAAGATTTGAGAAGGTAGTAAATTTTTTTTCTCAGCCAAAGCCTAATCTGTTTTAGATTTTGTCAGTATAGGTTAACATTATAAATTGAATTCATAATTTAAAAGCCATTATATTTTGTGGAATGTAAATTTGAATTGCTAATTACTGTTTACACTGTACAGCAATTCTAATCCAGTTTAAACTTTTTTTTTTTTTTTTTTTTTTTTGAGACAGAGTCTCATTTGCTCTCCCTGGGTAGAGTGCTGTGGTGTCATCATAACTCACAGCAAACTCAAACTCTCGGGCTCAAGAGCTCTTCTTGCCCCAGCCTCCCGAGTAGCTGGACTATAAGTGCCTCCCACAATGCCTGGCTAGTTTTTTTTTTCTATTTTTAGTAGAGACTTGCTCTTGCTCAGGTTAGTCTTGAACTCCTGAGCTCAAGCAGTCCACCTACCTGGACCTCCCAGAATGCTAGGATTATAGGCATGAACCACTGTGCCTGTTCTAAACTTTTATGAAGTCTTTAGGTATCAACAAGTTGTTATTAGCAAGCAAACACTAATGTGATCAGGGCCATGATGAAGGAAATACTTGGAATTTTCCAGAGAATGTGTGGGTAACTTACCAACCTGTAATTTTCCCAACCCCTTTTCTCTTTAGGTACTTATACCCATTTCCAGTACCACCTTTACTTTACCAGGTTGAACTTTCTGTGGGAGGACAGCAATTCAATGGGAAAGGAAAGACGAGACAGGCTGCGAAGCACGATGCTGCTGCTAAAGCGCTGAGGATCCTGCAGAATGAGCCCCCGCCCGAGAGGCTGGAGGTAAGGAGAGCAGAGCTGAGGCTCCGGGCGCTCCCCCCAGGGTGGGAGGAAAGGCCTCTCCTCAAGCTAGTTTCTGAGAAGGTGTGTTGACAAGTGTCCATAATTTGTATCATTGGTAGCCTGTTCAAGATGCTGTAGTCTGTAGCTTTCTTGCTTTTCCCGCATTTTTTTAGTTATACATTTTTTTTTTGTTTGTTTTTTTGAGACAGAGCCTCAAGCTATCCCCCTTGGTAGAGTGCTGTGGCATTACAGCTCACAGCAACCTCCAACTCCTGGGCTCAAGCGAGTCTCCTGCCTCCGCCTCCCAAGTAGCTGGGACCACAGGCGCCCACTGCAACGCCCGGCTATTTTTTTTTTTTGGTTGCAGCCGTCATTGTTGTTTGGCGGGTCTGGGCTGGATTTGAACCCGCCACCTTAGGTGTATGTGGCTGGCGCCTTAGCTGGTTGAGCTACAGGCACCGAGCCTAGTTATACATTTTTTAGCAGGGAAGTCACATGCCTTCTTTTTCACTCTGTGGCATAGTTTTTGAGTGACATAATACAGTGTGAACATGTTAGAAAGGTGGTGATTCAGTTGAGTCGTGAAGAACTTGTGGATGAATTCTTCAGTGCTAAATATTATGCTTGTCACAATCTTCAGTGATTTATGGTAGTGGGTCAGAGAATTTTCTGAAGCTGTTTTTGACCAGCCACTATTATATAGAAGGGCTTGTTATCTTTTGCTGTGTAACAAACCATCACAAAACTTGGTGATGATTTAAACATTTGCAGGTATTTATTTTTCTCCTGAACCTGCAATTTAGGCAGAGCTTGGCAGGGTAGTTTTTTTGCTCCACATGGCTTTTGGCCGAGGTGGCTTCTTTCAAAATGGCTCTCTCATGCGGCTGGTAAGGTGGTGCTGGCTGGAGCTCTGGGCCCAGGGACCTCAGTTCTTTTCTGGGTGGACCTATGTGAGGACTGCTTACATTTCCTGATGATATGGTGGCTGAGTTCCAAGAGTGAATGCCCTAGAAGATAGGTAGAGCGTGGGGAATTAGGGAAAAGAAGCAGCTGCCAGTTTCTTTTTCTTCCTTTCCCTTTCCTTTTTTTCTTATCTTTTCTTTCTTTCTTTTTTTGAGACAGAGTGCCATGGCATCACAGCTCACAGCAACCTCCAACTCCTGGGCTTAAGCAATTCTCTTGCCTCAGCCTCCTAAGTAGCTGCTAGGTGTATTTGGCTGGTGCCCTAGCTGCTTGAGCTACAGGCGCTGAACATCTTTCTTTCTTTCTTTCTTTCTTTCTTTTTTTTTTTTTTTGATACAGAGCCTCAAACTGTTGCCCTGGGCAGAGTGTCATGGCATCACAGCTCACAGCAACCTCCAATTCTTGGGCTTAAGTGAGTCTCCTGCTTCTGCCTCCCAAGTAGCTGGGACTACAGGTGCCCGCCACGATGCCCAGCTAGTTTTTGGTTGCAGCCGTCATTGTTGTTTGGCAGGCCCGGGCTGGATTTGAACCCGCCAGCTCAGGTGTATGCAGCTGGTGCCTTAGCTGTTTGAGCCATAGGCTCCAAGCCTTTTTTTTTTATTATGTTTTTTAAGACAGGGTCTTATGCTCTTGTTCAGACTGGAGTGCATCTGAACAATCATAGCTCATAGCAACCTCAAATTCCTGGGCTCAAGCAATCCTTCTGAGAAGCTTTGCTGAGAGTCCTGAGTAGCTGGGACTATAGTGTAGTACATACCACCAGGCCTGGCTGATTTATGTTTTGTAGAGACAGGGTATTGCTATGGCGTTCAGGGTGGTCTTGAACTCCAGGCCTCAAGCAATCTTGTCTTGGCTAGGATTATAGGTGTGAGCTAAAGCATCGACAGCTACTAATTTCTTATGGCCTAGGCCCAGAAACCACGGCATTGCTTCTATGGTATTCTGTGGGTCAAGCAGGCACAGAGCCCAGATGCAAAGGAAAGCTATACAGAGCCCTATTTTTTATTTTAAAATCAAGGTAAAAATTGTGTAACAAATTCACTATTTTAATCATTTTAAGTTAGTGACTTTTAGTACATTTACAAGTGAGAACCTCATTTCTGGATGAGAGGAGTCTTAAAGAATTTGAGGCCATGTTTTTTAACCACCATTTTAATGTTTAGTGACTAAATAGGAAATCAGTGACTCCGTGCTGTTGAGGGGTCAAAGCATTAGTGAATCTCTCTAGTAAGTCACAAATCTAGTCACCAAAGAAGAAACCCAGTGAAAACATTGAGATTTCATGATTCTGTTTACTCATAGCAGGAAATGCCCCTTGAACATGTATCCTCACATAGCCCTTGACTTTTCCTCAGGAGGCAGTTTCACAAAGAAGGTCTTGCACATAACAGTGGGAGTGAAGTGCGCGATGAGATAGGTGGACCTGAGTGGACTCCAGGCAGGGTGCTTGGCCGAGGTCCATTGTAACTGACTGCCACCCAGGGGCACCCTGCTCTGGAGGGCGCTGCTGTGGCTTCATGGCTGTCCGCACTGGAGGGATTCATCTTTCTTTTGTTATGCTGAGTTTCCGTTTTCTGGTGTAATCACTTATTCAAACAGATGATCTGTGTCTAGGGTTCACTGAGAACCAAATACAAGAGAATGGGTTGTAAGTTAAAAGAGGAAAATGTACTGAAGTTAAAAAAATGAGCTATTCAGTGGTGAGATTTGTTAAAACACCAAAAAAGTAGTGTATCCTGAGTTATTTTAATCCTGCCTGGGGGCTATTGTGATTGGAGTCAGGTATCCCTGAATTCCTTCAGCCAGCGGTTGGCAGTGTGGATTGTCTGTATCTCAATCACTTGAGAAATTTTTGTATAAAATCCCTAGACCCAACCTGTGTAATTCTAATGCAGGTCCAGGGTAAGACCAGGAATCTGACTCTTGCTTTTGCTGTTATTGCTGGTGTTATTGTGCTCTTGGAGTGATTCTAAAGCTTGGTCAGAGTTTAGGGACCACTTGTCTGACTACTGTTGGCACTTCCTAGGCAGTTTTTCCCTGGGAGTCTCGCATGGCACTAATCGCTATATTGCTATAAAGGAAAAGTGCCTTTTGGTATCTCTAGTGCTCTCACTCCCTGGAGTAGCCTTGGTTGGCACAATCCTAGGGCAGTGACTAGACAGTGCTTTCCTGGGCTGAGTTTTCATCAGCTGATCTGAAGTCTGTTAGAAGCTTTGCTGAGAATAATGTTTAAATTTACTCGTGCCCCTTGGCTTTCCTCCTCTTTGCTCCATTTCTCTAGCTCTATAGAGTTTGAAGTAGAGACAGTACCTTTTGAAAATGGCTCAGAGATTACCCTTAACCAATGTTTCAGTAAATGTAGACTCATTAACTAGGATAAAGCTTCTCCATAGAGGAAGCTCTGACCCACAGAATCTGTCTACAGTAGATATCAAACATGAAGTGTATACAACAAAGAGTGTATTTAAGTACGACTAAAACTAAAATGAGAGACCTTAACTCTTTTAATACTCTGAGTGTCCATTGTACCCATTTTCTTTCTTTCTTTTTATTATATTAAGAAATGAAGTCTTGGCTTGGTGTCTGTAGCTCAGTGGCTAGGGTGCCATCCACATACACTGAGGTTGGTGGGTTTGAACCTGGCCCACGCCTGCCAAACAGTAATAACTACAATAAAAAAATAGCTGGGTGTTGTGGTGGGCACCTGTAGTCCCAGCTACTTGGGAGATGGAGGCAAAGCCCAAGAGTTTGAGGTTGCTGTGAGCTGTGAGGCCATGGCATTCTGCCCAGGGCAACATGGTGAGACTCTGTCTCAAAAAAAAAAAAAAAGAGTGGCACCATAGCTCAGTGGGTAGGGCGCCGGCCACATACACCCAGGCTGGCAAGTTTGAACCTGGTCAAAAAATAGCCAGGCGTTGTGGCCAGCACCTGTAGTCCCAGCTACTTGGGAGGCTGAGGCAAGAGAATTGCTTAGGCCCAAGAGTTTGAGGTTGCTGTGAGCTGTGATGCCGTAGCACTCTACTGAGGGGTGACATAGTGAGACTCTG